TGTCTCTATACTAGAGAAATGTGTTGCTCCCTCCCCTGACTGTAACTGAAGGCTGTTCCCGCAGTGGGCTTCACTGCCTCCTAACAATATTCCCTGTTATTTCACCCCAGGGCTGTGAGTGCCGGCACACCCAAGAGAGATCTGAGGGTATTCTTACCGTCTGAACGGTAAAAGGCCCGTAATGGAGTTTTTAATGAAAAATGTGTCATGCTTGGAAATCTTTCACGTTTGAAAATGAAACCACCAGTTCACTGTTACTGGCAAAAGACTTTAAAGGAACTATTCAAAAAAGGTCTCTATTTGCAATCTTACAGCGTACCTCTCATTCTAGTTACGTTAGTCATTTTTTAATGTATTCACTTTGAAGTCCTCCATTCGCACAAAATGAGCCGGTTTCAGTGTGTGAGCTGTTTTATCCTAGGACATGAGTTTTAAGGAATATTTGGTGCCAGCTGGCTCTTCCTAAACTTATTCTCGATAGACACTCATTTCATTTCCTTAAAGCGTTATTAGGGAAACCACGTGATATCCGATTCTGAATTGTGCATGCATTTCAATCAGTGGAAGGCTGCTGTGATTAGTTTTAAAGCAAGGCTGCACCTTGCACCAGAATTTGAGGATAGCACAGCTGTTTTATATGGGCAGCTGTGATGTCCATACCTGCGGGCCTCATGGTAAATTAAGCTTTACTGGAAGGCGAAGTTCCTCCAGGAGATGAAATCACGAAAAGTGGCATATGGTAAAAGAGTCTTATCTCTGCCTACAATTTCCTGAAATCAGTCCAACCCTAAAAGTCTCGGGTAAAACTTACACCCTGCCTTTAGAAAAGCGACCCTACGGATCAAATTGTCTCCTGAAAACAAAAGTGCGTCATCTACTGCAGGAAAAAAATCCCGTAGATTCTTGCACACACGGGACGCAGCCAGGCACGAAGCTGCTATTACACTCCACGCAACAAAAATTTGAGTATTAGGGTTGCCACTTGCGTATTTATTAAGCTGAAAGCACTGTCGCGCACATTTGGCACCGCGCTGCTGCCGGGCTGTAACTTCTCACGTGCAAAGTTCACCCGTAGAACAATGTGAATCAAACGATCCCAGATGTGCTTTAAGTACAGTATTGGGTTGCACACCTTCGCTAGCGCGAGGCAGGGCAGACCTGCTTGCGTCTGCGCTTTCGGAACACGACCGATATCAACCCGTCATCCCCGGTGTGCAGGACAATGGAAAAACGTCAAGTTAAAAAAGCCCTGCAGATACTTGGCCCATTCAGGTGCGGTGTTAAAACCCTGCCAAAAGGACTTGCGTATGATTTATCAGCGTAACACTCTGGCCAAAGCTAAAAACCAGACTTTACTGCTCTGTTAATTTTGATACAGAAAACAGAGAAAGTTTAAAACATCGCTGTCCAGCTTAAAAGAAAACAAAAATTGAAACCGTGATAATAGCTGGGAGTGGATAGTGCTGTTTAACGGGGGAATTGAAATCTTCTGCTGTATAGCTAAAAAAAATCAAACATCTGCCTTTTAGTTAAATGCATCTAAAGCAAAGCACGCCGTATTTTCCACTGCCTTGTCAGGCGTGAGGATTAGTGTTGCAACCATAGCTGCTTGGTTTTCCAGCGTAGTGTATTTTTACCAGTTCAAAGCTTTTTTTCTGCTCCTGAAGTAGTAACTCCCCCAAACCTCCTTTTTGGAAGAATTTTGGACATTTTAAGTGGCATCTCTCTTATTGGAACGATCATGGAATGTTTCTCATGGAGGTTGTGAGGTCAGCTAACAGTCTGATACTCGACAGGAAGAAGTCTCAACGTGCTGTATTTTGTGTTATCGAACATTTATTCCGCGGCAGACAAAGCAGAAGGGCTGCAAGCGCGGTGTAACTGCCCCCGCAGCCTCTGCCGGCAGCCAGCACTTCGCGTGCAGCGTTGCAGGCAGCCGCGTACCAGCATTGGGACTTGCTGCTCTTCCAGAGAGAGCTCATGGCACCGACAGCCCTGCTAGAAGGAGGAGAGACTTTGGCAGGGCTAGCTTTGCTGGTGACAAGTTTGTTATCCAGGGTTACAAATATAATATATACTGTACATATATTATATATACACATTTATGAACATATACACATTTATACATATACACACATTTATACATATATAATATCTATGAAAAATATGATGTATAAATACATAATTTAATACAAACATATGTAAAATAAATACAAAATAATCACCGCTTTCCCTTTCACATGTGCTTTGTATCCTTGGGATGCGACCGGACCACGGAAGCGACAGCTTGCAGATGTGCACGTAGATCACCAGCGCAGTCCGACAGGCCTTCCATCTCTGTCAAGATGCGGTGGTTTGGCCAGCAGGACCATGGCAAAAATTGTTAGATGTGGCAAGATCCAAGACTCAGGAATTCATGTTTATCTTAGAATTGTCAGATTTCTGTTTGACGGTTATTCCCTCACTGAATCACAGCAAGCGGAGGGGACTTACTCCGAAACGCCCGCAGCAACTGTCCTTGTACCGTGACTACAGCACTGTGGACTGGCAGTGTATTTTGGCTGCTTTCCTTGAAAATCCGGTTTTTAAAAAAATTTATGTTTATACATAAACGTGACAAATGTAAAAGCTGCAGGCAGGTAAAATCTGTTTTCTTCAGAAACAAAGCAATGGCTCCAATAACTGTAAATTTGAACAAAACACACTAGCTCTTTGGGATAAATAATAAATAATGCAAGTCTCAGTTTAAAAAAAAAAAAAGCAATTGTAATTCTAGAGCGTAAGGTTAAAACCATCTCCTCTAATTGCATAGCAACACCTGCACCACACTGCCTCGGGCAGCTGCAGCAAGTGAGTAGGCTCAGCCCCATAAAACACCAGGCAATCTTCCCACAGGCAGCAAAGGGTGGTCAACTCTGGTCACCACGCAAAGCATTCAAAGAAGGAACCGGCAGCCTGTCATATTTAATTTAAGGAAGATGTTTCAAGAATTATCTCGAGGAACAAAGTTGCCTCAACCTCCCAGCTAGAGCAATGTGTTTCCATTTTACGTATTATTAAACCACAAACACGTTGAAATGCTGGGTCTACCTAAACTCCTGCAAAAAAGGTAATTAATTAGGTGGCTGCTGCAGTCTAGGGGGAGCAATTTTTACTCACCGAGGTCCCATGCATTCCACTGCAGCCAGTTTCTAGGGGCTTGCGCAGATTTTCTCCCACATCCAGCCTCCAAAACTAAAGTACGAGGTTTGGTGCAGTTGTTTGCAAGGGAGCTGTTTACACGCACTCTTCAAAGTTGTGACTTTTGTTTCCATCAAAATACAGCGCAAATTCTTCTGCTGCCCATACGTCTGTTAATTGGTATGAATTTTAGAAATACTTCACTAAATTTTCTTCCTCTTCTGTCAGTTGCGTGTAAGATGCAACTGAGGGGAAATAACCGGTTTTGTACGCTTAAAAGCTGCCAATGGTATGAAACAGGCTGAAGAAAGCATCTTGCTTTGTTCTTTTGATAGTAATCTCTTCTGTGTTAGTTGTTACCATGCTAGCGTAACCTGGGATTTTGAAACCGGGTCTTCTCTGCTCCCAGGACACCTTGTTCCCCACAACTTGTCCTCTTCAACAGAGAAAAGGTGAGAAAAATACCTCCCTGGTTGCTGAGGGAAGCACTCTGCCACCTGAAAACATTACTTACACAACTGAGCAAGCAGAGTATTCTACATCCAACTCATTGATTAAAAAATTTAAAAAATTAAAAAAAAAAAAATTGTCCACCTCTCTTGCTGCAGAAATGAAAATCTTCTGGAGGATGCCTACTGGGAGCAGATTTTCCCAACAGGGACAGATCCAAAGCAGCAGAATAGATCATTTGGTACCAAATGCAATTAGGAGGCACCGTGAGCGGGCTGCTGAACACCAGAGGGCAAGCCTGGCTCTAGACACGGGGCTGGCAGCTCCAGCACAGGTAGATTATGCAGATGCAGTGCATATTGCGGGTGAGAAAGTGCTTCCCTCCCTCCCCCCAATTAAGGTCATTCCCCTGGTCTAGCTAGCAAGGCAGCTAGAGTAAAGCTAATACAAACAGCAGAGCCTTTAGAAAAATCGCAGTTTAATGTGTAGTGGTAAGGTGACAAAAGCAACAAACCATTAACACTGAGTGTTACAGAAAGAAACGTACGTGATTTTTTTTTTTAAACATCTGAATGGAAAATGCAAGCAAATTCTTAAGGAAGGTATTCTCTTATTGAAAGAGTCATATTGATGTTATCCTTTATGCCTAGAAAAATCTGACTAACACAAGTGATTAGGCAACTCCAATTTTAAAGCTGCAAAAAACAGGCTAAAAGAGCAATTAATCTATGCTGTGATCTCTAAACCCAATAGAATTGGGCAAACTCAGATCCTCAAGTCGTTTTACTACAGCTTTGAATCCAACTGAAGATCTTTTCCTGACCCACAGTCAGGTAAACAATTCACAGAATTAGCAGATAACTTCAACACTTTAAGAAAAAAGTTGATTTCTTCCAAAACTGACTCACCAGTACTTGTGCCATCTAGTGGCCGTTTCTTCAGGCAAGTCCGATGATCAGTTATCAAAAGCCTTTGGTTAAGGCTGCTTCTTTTAACACACAGTGGTCAGTATTATGCTATTATTTTAAACGAAAAGTTAGAATATGCAATGCAGAATGCTACTGCTGACTGGGAGTATCATAGGAGAGAAATTCATCCTCTTCTCCAGCCACTAACCATCAACCTGAAGTACTCATACTAAAAAGGGACATGACAAAAAATACATTTTTCCCTTTCTTCAAAAAGGCCTTGTATCACCTTCAATTAAACGTGTACTTGTGTGTAGAGCAAAGTAACTGTTTACATGAAAAAACGGAGCCTTCAGAGTAACACAGCTCTCCTCATTCTCAATTATTTGGGTCTGAAAGACTAATAAAGCTTTGCATCTTCATGCAGACTGTTTTTCTGTATGTTTTATTAGAAAAACGGAACTACAGCTTCAATTTGGGTTCTTTTGCTTGCAAAGCCTTGGTCGCTAGTTCAACTCTTTCCTTCAATAAGCTAGCTTCTTCAGCACTTTTTTGGGCTTGTACATTTTTCAGTAAGAAGTGGGTAAGGAAGAGTTTCAAGCCTTCTCGTAGCATTCCCAGTTTGGGGTTGTCAGATATCCTGTAAAGATACAGATCAAAAAGAGTATTTAGCCTTCTACTGTTTCAGAAGTTTCTTATTTTTTCTTTATCTGCTTCAAACAGAGATGCAGGAAAACCCCCAACCCCCAAAGGAGCTTTTCTGAAGAGGCTTTCAAATTACCAGCAAGTCTACATTGGTCTGGCAAACAGCCCAAACACACTCAACATACAATTGATCCTCAACAATAAAATGGAATATTGGAGCCTTAGACTTGCTTTATGTAAACAATTACATTACAGCAACGAACGAGGCAAACGCCATGTTTGAGCTTCCTTGTGTTACAGTGTAACGGCTGAAACATCATCACCGAATTTTTTCTCACTTTATGGGACACTGCAAGCTTAATACAACAAAATCATGGAATCACAGAATAATTTAAGTGAGAAAGGATGTTGGCAGGTCATCTTGTCCAACGTCCTGTTTAAAGCCAGACTGACATCCAGGTGCGGTCAGGTTGCTCAGAGTCTTATCCACTCAAGTCCTGAGCATCTCCAAGGATGGAGATTTTCCCGCCTCTCCAAGCAACCCTGTCCCATATATAAAATTAAGATTTTCCAGACAATGTTGATATAACACCCCCCCCCCCCAAACATCCCCCAAACCTTTTCCTCATTAGTATTTCTTTATTTTTCCTTCTTACACTAAAGATACCTTCTAGCAAAGACTGCTGGGAGAGTGAATCCCACTGCACGCAGGTGGTAAAGCAATAAGGAAAGCAGGCAATTACAAAGCTCTGCTCGTGAAAATCCTGTGACCAAAATGACACATTGAATATCTGAAAGCCTTATTTGTATAACACTTCTCACAGCTGTATCTATACCAGAGCCTGTACTAACAAACGATACATTTCCCCCTGCTCACCCAGATGAGCTTACTTTTTAAGGGATGGATGGCTGATCTTTGGCAAAGGCACTGTATAATTCCAAACAAAATAAGCAAACTTCTTATCTTCTTAATTACTACTCACCAATGGTTCCCTGGAGATCTCTCTGATCACTTACCTCACAAAAATGTCACTAAGTTCTTCAGCATCTGTTTTGATTAACAGCATGCTTAATACTTGTCGCAAGAAACGGACTTTGGGTTTATCTAGTTCGCTGAATTCAATTACCTAGTGGAGAGAGAGGGAGAGGGAGAATTAGATTAATTCAAGTATTTCAAACAGCTGAACTCTCTTCTAAATGAACAGCTTTCAGCACACCAAATGGCCTCCCATATATACCAAACCTGAAGTTTGGCACAGAAGAATTAGCTGAGAACACTGCCTCCAAAAGCCAACCGATAAGGAAGCAGAGAAGTGTCTAAGGAATAACCTGTCTACTAGTACCAGAATACTAGATATAATTTCTCAATTAGATAAATACTTCAGAAGTACCTAGGACAATCCATAACACTGCCTGTTTAACACAGTTCAATTATTCTTCTAATAAAACTCTATGGACACTCCATTCTGAAATCCAAGTGCCCAGTAGATTTCTTTCTGGTCTAATAAAAAGCAACATCAGCTAAAAAGCATAGCACAGAATCCACTGACAAAGCCTGTTTATGAAGGGGCCTCAGTTCCAACTCTGGATACTCGAAATAAAATTATCTTACAACTGCTCCAGATACAGAATTTTAGACTTTCTGTATGCCTGGGTCACCATAGGTTCCCTTTTCAAATGATACCATTACTGTAATTAATGGGATTAATTTGGTAATTTTAGAACAAGTTTTGTCTTAGGTTATGACCACAAACAGCTAAAGTACCAGCTAGCTAACAGAGAAAATACATTTTCCATAAAACTAGCAAATGCAAGGAAAACACGGAAATATTTTGAAAAGAAAACACACCAACCTTGAGAACTGAAAGTGGCAATGATTTCGTCCTTAATAAATGAGCCAACAGTGAAACCAAGTTGGAGATGGCAGTGGCTGACAGGTTTTCTAAGTCTCTGATTTTGTCCCAAATACTAAACTGAAATGTCACCTAGGTGTCAAAGGAAAAAAAAAATCCTACAAATCAAATGACTATTTAAATAAGTAACGACATAACAAAACCTTTCTGCCTCCTATTCTTTATGAGCCCTCTGTTAATTAACAGAGATGCTTGATCAGATTGTTCAATTCTTTTAAAATGCATGAAACAGAGGAAAGCAAACCTTCTGCAGCAGTTACTTCATTTCCTATTCATATCTGACCATGAGTTTGCCTTACTGAATGCACAGCTGCACCAGCAGAATTTTTCCTCAGGATCAAGATCTCAACAGGCATGCATCCATTCTCAGGTATTTAATAACTGTCTTCCTAACCACAATAATGACACTAAAAAAAAAAAGTAGAAACAGATTTTCCTTCACCTGAAATCGTCTTTCACATTCACAAAACTTGTTAGCCAAAAATGCATAGAAGGGGTTATATGTCTTCTCCTGTAAGCAGCAGTAAACGATAACATGAACAATTTCTCTCTCCTGCTGATCTTTCAGTCCAAGCCTAAAATTTAGCAAGAGAATGAGAATAATTTAGTAAGGAAAAAATTACTGCCACAAAGTAAGAGCTACAGTCAACGTGCGAGAGCAATACTAAAAAAAAAAAAAAAAAACAAAAACCAAAAAACAAAACCCTCCAACCACCACATTAAATTTTACTTGTTAGGAAGTTCTTACAAAGTCTTTAAAACACTGGATGGACTCAAACCTTTAAGACTGTGGGCTAAACCAGTATGCTGGTATGGCAATATGGAAATGCTACGGTATTGTTGGTGTTAAAGGAGTGGCTGCAAAAGCAAAACCTCAGACAGACAGAAATGGAATGATACAAGTATGATTACTCTCCGGGGAAGGAAAGGTAGCCCACTCCATGTTTGTAGCTCTCCATGAAGAAAAACAGAGGAGAGGGCCCTGTCATCACTGAGTCTTGTGCCTTTGAATGTAGCAGCAGTGCTGCAGCAAGCGTTGCTGCATGGTGTATTGATACAAAGGTTAAATAGCAAAACAAGAACTGCAGGCCCCTGTTGCGGTTATCTCACACTTGTACCTATGGTCATAAAGGAAAAACAGCCTTTGGATCAGTGTAAGACTATCCAGAGAAACATGTCCAGGGCCCTTCACTTCTGTGGTATTTACTAGGGATAAGAAAATATTTTAAGATATTTTTCCTACTTGGTGATAAGAATCTTTTCATCTCTAGGTCAACTCCATGCTACATAATACTTGTTTGACAGTAGCCTAAGAGGATGCAGTCAGTGATTTCAACCTACCTTAAAAAAAAAAAAAGCCTGAAGAAAACAGTCAGTATCAATGAGTACTTATGTCGGCGACCTCAGCATAAAGGCCAAGGACTGAACAGCCTTCCCAACTTGAACAGCTGACCAGTCTAAAAGAGGGCTGAGACGCTTTGGCAGGGAATGGTAACTAACTCGCAAAGCACCTGTTCTGTGAATAATATGATTTAGCTTCCAGGGCTGCCAAATGCTTGGCAGCATTAAAACCAATTAAAATGAAAAATGCTTCGTATTATAATCTGAAAAATGTCAAACAAAATTCTTTTCATTGTTTCAAGCTCAAGTTTCATACGGCATTAGTATAACTCAAGTGTATTTTCTAACTAAGTTTGACTCCACTGGAACTTGCTCTACAGTCTGTAGAGTACAGTTAGTCATTGCTTGAGTCTAATATCCCTCGTTTGTATACACCTCCAGACATCTGCCATTGCATTTGATCACAGACACATACCAGATTAACACAGAAAATACTGTCTTTCAGCCAAAACCCCCAAGAATTTAAGGTTTTAAAATATGAAAATCTGGGATGATTTCTAGGCTGATAGCTAATGAGTGGTGAAAACTTCAAAGTCCGCTTCTCCAAGAGACCAGCAGTAAGTATAAGTGCATGTCGGTGATATAATTCACTTGCTCTCCCATCAGCCAAGTTCTATCTCATTTTATTACAGAGCAACAAAAGTTTTTTTTAAAAAATACAGATTTTCAGCCACCGGACATATATTTAGTAGATGACTTGTCAAGTTACATTGCAATCACTAATTTGGCACACTCTCCTTTTCCTTTTTCATCATCACTTAGAATCATAGAATAGAATCATAGAATCATTTAGGTTGGAAAAGACCTTTAAGATCATCCAGTCCAACCATTAACCTAACATTACCAAGTCCACCACTAAACCAATTAAGGGTAGACTAGCAATTTCAGGTTTCCTGGCTTGGTGGCTGGATTATTTTTAATGAAAGTAAAAACCAGGAATCATTAAGGTTGGAAAGGATCTCTAAGATCATCAGTCCAACCATCAACCCAACACCACCATGCCTACTAAACCATGTCCGCAAGTGCCACATCTACCCGTTTTTTGAACACTTCCAGGGATGGGGACTCCACCACCTCTCTGGGCAGCCTGTTCCAATGCTTGACCACCCTTTCCGTGAAGAAATTTCTCCTAATTTCCAGCCTAAATCTCCCCTGGCGCGGCTTGAGCCCATTACCTCTCATCCTATCGCTAACTACATGGGAGAAGAGACCAACACCCACCTCACTACAACCTCCTTTCAGGTAGTTGTAGAGAGCGATAAGGTCTCCCCTCAGCCTCCTCTTCTCCAGGCTAAACAACCCCAGTTCCCTCAGCCGCTCCTCATAAGACCTGTGCTCCAGACCCTTCACCAGCTTCGTTGCCCTTCTCTGAACTTCTATCACGACTTGCTCATTTAGGAAATATTCATGTTGCCAGATGGCTGTAACCGGGTAAATCAGCACCTGGATGTTCAATTTCGTTTGTACCTTCACTTCTTCACAGACCTAGCAGTATTTTCTCTTTTCAGACCTAGCATTCCCAAACATCTAAATTTAAGAGTCAAGATTGTCTTTCACTGCTGAGCTTTATCATAAACCTGTACAGATTTCATAAGCCTGATAATCTTAGATAAAGAATATGCAACCATCTCACCTATTAAATCATTCATGAGTTACAATATTCCCATGGACTTGTATGTCTTGATCACTTTAAGATTTTCCCCCTATATATGGGATAATTGCCTCTGAAGCAGATTATTTATCACCAGCAGAAGTCTGCCTCAACGTAGGTTAGTTATCATCAGCTGAAGCCCAAGACTATCATTGTCTTTAGATCAAACACAGCAATACTCAAACCCACCTTCTAAAAGTCAGTTCAAATGATTTTAGTAGATACAGTCACATACTTGCTATCCTGAATTACACACCACACAACAACAGGATATCTAAGACTTTTACAAGTTTCAATTTTTGTGAGATGTAAAGTTTCTCAAATTCTTCATCTCTATGAAACAGCGTAAGAAATTGCCTCTTCATCAAACTTAAGCAGCATTCATTCCTCCTCATATGTGAATCTGTGGTTTGTGAAGGAGGTGTGGCCTTTCAGCTGACAAAATAGATCAAGTCTCACTCTCTTCTCTTTGTCTCCAGTGATGTTCCCAGTCCTCCCTTTACATTGACACTTTGCAATCACAAGCTGAGCCACTTCAGGGAGCTGTTCTGGCTTCAAACTAATTACTTTCTTTTGATGTGAAGAGGAGCAAGACAAGCAGAACTACAGCAGCATGGATTTAAAATGGTTTAAATTACCATTTAACCACACCTCAACTCTGCCAGAGATCTAGCAGCAGATGAATCAATAAACACAGTTAAAATATTTCTTTATGTATTTCTCAGGCTCTTCCTCAGGAGACCGACATCAAACATACGAATATAAATTCCCACACATTCTGGAATGCATGTTCACATTAAAGTCAATTCCTTCACTGAAAATTCTGTGTTCTTTCCATTATACTCTGCCAAATGTGGGCAAATTTGAGAATTCCTCTCTCTGAGTTTGCTGTATAAAAACCAGTATCAACACACACCAGGCAATCTGCAGACTTTTTTCTGCCAAGCCTGTATGTATACAGATTTGTATAGTAGTTTAAATAGCATGGATGAGAGTCAAGGATCAATTTGCAAATTGAACTACCAGGTCTTGGCAAGAACTGCAGCAGCAGCAGCTAATTTCTTTTAATTGAACAGGCCATATTAAGATATTGGAATGACTCCATCACAGTCTTAAATCCAAGCTGTGTTTTGCAGAAGTGGCATTTAATCAAATATTAGTTGACTTTATTACAAACTCTGTTTTGGTTTGGTTAGCAAATTAAATAATTGCATGCCATCCTGGTAAGACAATTCCCTTGAATTACAAGGCTGCAATAGAAAAGTTCAGGGCTGATCTCTCCCCTCCCAGTTACTATAGGCTTACAATTAATATTCTAATAAACACAAAGAACAGCTTAATTTGAGCTTTTACCTGATCACATCTTCGTCTAAAGATCTGTTTGCCAAGTGGTAAGGAAACTGGTCTTAACATGAAATGTGACCCTGGAGCAAATCCAAAGCTAATAAATTCTGCAACAGGGAAGCAGAGGTGCTAGAACACTAGCGGGTCATGCAAGTACGGACGGAGACCTACAAGATGGCTTAACAGTAGTTAGTAGTATGGAAATCCAGCAGTATGGAGTAGTAGTATGGAAATCCAGTTGTATGGAAATCCAGTGACAAAACCAAGATGTTCTGAAGGGGCTTCTGGTCTGCCTCTGTAAGGAAGCAAGGCTGCAACAGACTTCCATCCGCTAGACCGGGATGCGCATCTTCAATGCAAAAAGATACAGGCTTCTTAAGTCAACGGATGCTGTAAATCACAGCTATAGACATGAGCGACAACAACAGGGGCTACTCCTTTCCTCAACTGCCAGTCAGTTCTGCCTGCCCCCTACGAGTCCTTACACCAGGGTTTTGTTCCCTCTCCTACCCTTTTACCCTATGTGGATCCCTAGCTATGCACTTCCTTAATTGTATTATTAATTAAATACTCTTAAGCCCAGACCAGCAATGTTATTTTTCCAATCCAGCTAATGCTATTTTTAGTTCTGGGCTATCTTCTGTGATAGTCTGTACTTACTTGAGAAGCTTTTCAAAGGCATCCAGGAAGTCTTCACTTGTCATCAAGACACAAAAAATACTTCTCCTGATATCAGTGTTCATTCTCTGCTTACGAGCAAGCTCCAGTATCTTTGAACTCACCTGAAAAAAAAAAAATTAAATGCTACTTTATTTATGCTTGCTTTAAGAAAGCTATTTCTGTGCAGCCTCTAATAAGACTATTAATGAAAATCTCCATTATGAAGCATCAATCCAAAGGTCCTGAGCTTTTGTCCAGAGGCACAGGCATCATCAGGAGCTTTTTCAACTAGGAAAATAAAAATTATTGGCACAATTAAAATGTAAGACATGCTTCTCTAATATAAGTCACCACAACCATCTCACCACACTACTTTTAGAATCAGCTTAGATATATGCCACCCACAGACAGACAACACTGCCTGTCAGAATTGATAGTAGCAAATCCACTTTAGGTCAAGTCTCTTCTTCCACTTGCATAACAAGTTACTTTTGCAATTCCACAGAGTAAGAAAAAACCCAAACTATACCATAATATTTCTAGTAACAGCTTTTATGAAGCGCATGAGTACATTTTGAAAAATGTAAGAGCAGAATTTACAGTCCAAAAGCTTATTCTTACAGAGTCTGTGAAGGTTTTTTGGTGGGCTCTGAAATGAACTTCTTCACCTGTATGAAGAATATTCAAAAGATCACACACACTTAGATTTATAACTGGCACTGCTTGGATTTACCTTTCCTATATGCAGTTTTTGTTGAGTCTTGCTGTTTGTATCATTGATCATTGGCGCTCCACTCCAGGATGACCCTACGATCCACCAGCGGCCAACCCGATCAGCACTGAGGAGAGATTCCAGGGAGACACGGAGCTGAGTTTCTTTTCCAGAACCACTGCTGTGAACCTTGAATAACAAAATATAAGAAAATCCCCAAAAGCTTTTATTTGAAGCTTTCTTTTTGTTTTTTTTTAAAGAAAAGGAAAACAACAAATACTTTAATGACTTAAAATTACTCTAAAACTAACTTAATCTCCATAAAGGTCTTCACGTTTCCCCCTCACAACCTTTAGTTTCAGTCAGCAACCTGAAAAGAATTTACCAATTTCCCATATGCTCTGATTTCTCAAATACAAGAAGTTGCTTAAATCTACATTTAGAAGCTCTTGATTTTTTTTTTATTTTTAAAAAAGGGACAATCAATTGTAAAGTAGCCATCTTCCAACCATAAAACTTTATTAGAATTCAGACTTGATGCTGACATTGAAAATCAGCTGCAGCATCTTACAGCCTGGTCATGATTCTCCTTTTGAACACCTGTGATCAAATAAAATTACATGACAAACTGCCTTAAGTTTTGTACAATTCAAACAACAAAAAGTTTAAACTCTTCAAACAAAATAAGAATTTTCAACAAAAGAGGCTAGAAGTATACTTAGAGGACTGCGAAAATTAAGAGAAGAAATTGTACAGAACTCGGTTACCTAGCTTATTTTTGCCTGGCCTATTATCACTGCTGTGCACATCCTGCACTTACAAATTTCTGAAAAGTAAGATGCTCTAGGTGTTGTAGACAAGTAGTGTAATTTTCAGGTTGGAGATACAGGGACTCTAAAACCAGAGTTCTCAATCCAAAGAGACAATTACTTTCATGCATTTTATACTGGGTTGTTCTAGAGAAACTGCCCTCTCTCTGCAGGAAAAAAAAAAACAACAAACACCCCCAAAAAACAAGAAAGAAAAAACATCAGGTTTTCAGAAGTGTTAGACTTCCAAAATAATTCTGGTGAAGTTAGGACCAGGTGCCGGTATCCAAAATCTATGGAAAAAAGAACTTGCCATAATGACTCATTTCTTCTGGACTATCATTAAACACCCCACAACCTCTTTTTCAAGTATAGAACTTTGAGGCAAAGTCTTTGGCTAAGTATATGCCCTTTCTCAAACTGTTCTGCAGAAGGCTGGTTGACTGCTGACTGAAGCTGGACACAAGAGATAACACTTAACGATTTAAGAAGTGATTTTTGTCCACAAGAGTTTCAGACTGTTAAATGAATTAAAAAATACTATAGCTCATCAAGCCAACGTACAATACAAATAATTACTTCTGGTTTAAGAACAGCTATACTACAAATGTCAAGAAAGATCTCACCAGTGTTCTTTGCAATTTGCGGAGTTTTTCAACTGGTTCAGGATCATAACCAGGAATCTTACGCATGTCATTATTCCTTAGTGCCAACATAGTCTCTAGCATAAAACGAACCTATTGGGAAAAGAAATATTTCTGTTGATTATGTGCTGTGAGTTTCTTTAATAAAGCAGAGAGTGTACTTTGAAATTACTATTCCGTGAGAATAAGCAGCTCAGCTGCCAATATACATCAAAATTTAGATTACATGAATACAGAGAAGGACATTTACTTTAACTGCTATTATATTCATTTGAGTTCAAGCTTCAGTTCAAAGCTTAATCTGCTAAACACCATGCTTCTGTGACCATTTTTTGAAGTGTACGGAGTATCATGAAACAGAAGCACTACCCATTGCATAAGACACAAAACAGTCCTAGTCTCAACCATGACAAGCATTTTGGTGTCTGTGTCCTAAGAACTAATGGAGAAAGACAAGAAGAATGCAAATAACTGAATGCAACAATTGAACACTAATGGCAGCTTAGAATCTAAATAGAGTGTAGCAGAAAACATCTTGGTAAACTAACGTATGTATCCAAGTGTTTATTAAAGTCTATTCAAACAGAACAGAAAATCTTTTAAAACACACACACACATACCCTAGTCTGATCCTGAAGTTTCTTCTCCGCTGTGTTTGCTTTCCTCTGGGCTTCAGTGATCAGTTCCTTCAAAGCCAATGCATCATCTTTTCTTAAGGAAAAGCCCACGTTTTTCAGAAGAAACAAAATCAACTCAATCTCTTTTTCAGTGAAAGTACTAACAAGCTTTTTCAGAATATCAAAGATCAGCAGGGAATGAACCACATGGAAGTTATACAGATGAGCAATCAAGGCAAGCAGATTTTCACATTCTTTCCCTTCAGCATCACTTTTACAGAGTTCATCAAATTTCTTCACCACGGCTTCCAAAAAGTGAGCACCGACCTGGCAATAGTCCCATTAAGGGGAGGGGAAATAATCCAGCAGTTAACCGTAAGTAAGATTTTAAAGACATCTGTAAAACATTCATTTTTGGGGCACTGCCACTATTAATTTTAAAGAAATATTGTTGCTCCTCTCAACCAATATGGATGTTCTACATTTACATATACAAATATCTAAGTGGCCTGACATTTTCTTAAAGTATATGTTATTTACACCTCATATATGCCATCCAGTGGCCTTTTAAGTTCTGTGCAAGAAAAGCAAGTGTCATGAACTTACAGTACACATACATCAGAATTTGTTTACGTAATTTTCATGGACACATATTAGCATCTTCCCAGCTGTCAGGCTAGCATGCTGTTACTGCTAGTCATTCATCCAGTAAAAGCTGCATGTCAAAAACCCAATGCATCAGAGAGTTCAGCATTCCAGAACATGCTTAACAGCAGGGTAAAAAATAATATTGTAAACCAACCCCCAACATACCAAGTTTTCACAGTTGCTGAGCATGAGCTTAGGCCGATTTTGAAGTAAGGATTAAGTCTTAGCCATTTGTCAGTGGTACAGTTGGGAAAAGATATTTTGGAATCTCTATATTTGTGAAGAGAGAACTGATGCTAAAGACTGGAATCAGAAAGCATACCAAAATACAGGTAGGTAATGAACACATTACTGCTACACAAGACCCCCCACCATTATTATGGTGCTAACATTTGCTAATTGTTCTTATGAAAACCAGAAGTCCCAGTGGCAGTACTGACTTGCATTATAAGCCTTGACCAGCCCGGGTTTTAACTATCCAATGACCATATTGCACAAACATATAAACACAGCTATTGGAATCCCAACTTCTGCGTTGCTCAAACTAATCTTAAATGCAGCTGTGCTATCACACTTTTGTGTAATGCATATTCTACATTTATTTCACAGAAAAGACAACGGGGCTTTATAGTGTACTTAAGTATACTACAGTCAGATTCAAAGATGCTGTGTAACAGTCAGTAGCACAGAAGACAGCCTGGATATCATCTACCTTTAATACCTGTTATTGTATCTATATCCAAAACCTATCACTAGGTATTTTGCAAAGTTTCAACTTGTCAAAAGACTGCATTTCTCTTCTTAAAACAGCATTGTAATATTACGTTATATTTGCAGTCAGAACTGCCTTTCAAGCAGCAAAGAGAAACAAAAAAGAGTTTAATGGCAAGGCTGCATGGAGGAAACTGCTCTAATTGCATCCATCTGATATTTAATATGGTTTCAGAGACAGCATTCAGGTCACTATATGACAAACTGAAGAACGTGCATCCGTATATCTTTTGCACCGATTTGTAGAAAGAAAATGTAACTTGACGGGAAAATTGTGCTGGAACACCTCAGTTTTCTGAGTCATTTCAGTGAAATTAGCTCAAATATTCCCTTTGACATTAGTAGCTTCTTCTTAAGAGTAAGCAAGAAATAATTATGAAGTATTTACTTCGTCAGGCTTAAAAACACAAAAATACCCTCCAAAAATCTGCCATGCTTTTTTAAGTTTTTTATCATCTGGAGTCATTGATATACCTAGTTAATTCCACTGATAATTTGCATGATTGGGCTTTTCCACTGATGTAAAAGGATTTCTGTAACTGCAGTGCTTTCCTTATCTGGATACACATCCTTCAAGAACAATACCCTCATATACCCAAGAGAACAGAAACTGATTAGTGTAACTGAAGAGAAGAAAACTTGAAGCTTAAAAAATTCAGTTTTATCAATGCAGAAAGATTTTGATGAAAAAAAATGATGTTTTTGTATAAGTGACCAGTGGTAACTCACGGAAGAAATGAGATAAAGCAACAGACTTGGTCCCTTTCACTTGTGGACACCTAGCAAATAAACTACCAATACTGATGAAATTCAACTAGAGATGCTTTTTAGTGACACACAATCAAAAATTAAAAGGCAATTCAAACAAAATATCAAGAAAAACACTCTACAACACGTAGTATTAAACAAAATTAGTCCCAACCACAAGAATTACCTCAATTCCTACATTATGATGAAGAATGCTGACCAAAAGGACATGCTCCATCATCAACCTTGCAGGCATGGCAACTGCAGTAACACAAGCATTCATGAGAATATCTGTCAGAGTTTCATTCATGTCCTTTCTGCTGTTGGCCATGTAGAGCTCTTCCATCTGTCCACTAATGGAGGACAAATTCGGTTCACTCAACCTATTGAGAAACAAAACCCAATGTTGACATTTTCTTCTCTTTACAAGGTTCCACAATTTTCAATTTGCCCAAAAACCAACCTATTCTTTTTAGAGAAACTAGCTTAGCTTAAGAAGAAAGACTGAAAAGATGACTGGAATGGACCTTTTGTATTTTGCAGTGTTCACTAAACTAAAAAAATACAACATATATTTAATTCTGTTTTTTTTTTTTTTTAAATAATGTAAAAACAGGTTAGCAGCATCATTTACAAAGCACTGTCAATATGTTTACTGTCACATTGAACAGATTTATTAAGAAAACAGACTTTGTTCTTAGCAGTCATAACTATGGCACATCACAGTCTTTGGAGAAATTAAGCATGAAAATACCTTATTTTCTAACATGTAAGGTGTATCAAATTCTAAGCAACTGAACACACTGCATACTGTAGTCTGCATTTTACAGATAACATAGATAAAAGAAAATGCCAGCAGATTTCTTACTTTAAAAATACTCTAAAATTAAAACATGTGAAAGTGTTAATTACTTTCTCTGTTCTTCAGTACTTTAAGCTATGAAGTGTTGCTCCTCCTCAGTTGCAGTGCTGGAGAAATTTAATTTTATTTAATTAAAAAAATAAAATAATGGGGTTTTTTGGGGAGTTATAACTCACACTACGAGGTTTTTTTCTAGGTATACTCCAGCCGACAGAGTGAATTATACCTAGCACTTGCAGGCAACTGCTGTGTGGAATTCAGCCCAATCTTAAATTTATTTTCTAGATTTTTCAACTTCTGTAATGACCAACTTTGAAGAATTTATATCAACAAAGATAATTATTATTAAGGATAGCAGACATGATTGCCAACTTAAAATCAGTTTGTGAAGAGAAAAGTCACATCCTTGCCACTTTTCTTTGAATGATGAACACTGTCACATCGAACCAGAACGATTAATGACTTTCCTTATTACATTACCTATTAATGAGACCATTCACCATTTTCTTCAGTCTTCCCAATTCTTCTCTTTTCTTGTCATCTAGCGTCTCCTGAGCTTTCCTTACTTGAGGGGGAACATACTTTGTAGCACTGTGATTATGACTCTTACCAGGAAAACAGTAAGATAAGATACCAAATGAGACTAGTATCTTAAATATTTGAACACAAACATATGTTTTAAATTTCTATTTAAGATAAATATACCAAACTTTTAATTAAGTATATATTTTACCATCTAATAACTAATGCCAAAGGAACAACTTCATACAGAAAAGAAGCATGCAACAAGTTACCGCTTATAATCATAGAAACATAGAATGCTTTGGGTTGGAAGGGACCTTTAGAGCTCATCCAGCCCAACCCCCCTGCAGCGAGCAGGGACAGCTTTAACCAGATCAGGGTGCTCACAGCTCCGTCCAACCTGACCTTGAATGTTGCCAGGGATGGGGCCTCTACCACCTGTCTGGGCAACCTGTTCCAGTGCTTCACCACCCGCATTGTAAAAAATTTCTTTCTTATGTCTAGTCTAAATCTATTCTTCTTCAGTTTAAATCCGTTATTCCTCGTCCTGTCACAACAGGCCTTGTTAAAAAGATTCTCCCCATCTTTCCTGTAGGCCCCCTTTAAGTACTGGAAGGATCAACTTGACGGCCGCAAAACCCCTCATCCCTTTACATGAAATTTTCTTAAAGTTATTGTTATTAAAATCTGACATCTTAGGTCTCGGTTTTATCAGCTGCAGATGTACTAACAGTTTAAGTTAGTGCCATGCAGGCTAAATAACCCATTTGGCGTCCACCCACGCTACAAGACCTAGCACAGGCAGAACCTCTGGGATCATCCAGAAGTAACACTTCAGTTTGCAACAGATAGTAATTTTAACATAAGTTCTCTTTGCTCTTAGCAGAAGTGCTTAATCATGTTCTTAAACTCTAAAGCTGGGGTAGTTCCTTTTATTTACTGATCTTGTACAGAGAGACAAAGCCACATGCCTTGTGCTTCAGAGTATTACCTGCCAGCACCCTGACTTGGGGGAACCCTACCCTCCCCGGCTAACAGCTGTCCCTCGGGCTCGGCAGGCCTTGGAGTCAACACCTGCGGGGC